ATGTCTTTACAATTTAAAAACTCCTTGAAAAAGTTTTTTTTTGCAATAACGGACCCTATTTGCACAAATTCATAAAAGCGGACCCTGGTTGAAAGAATGTGAGTAATTTTTTCACAATTTCACGAAAAACGGACCTTTCACAAAATGTCTGGACAGACCCCTGATAGTATATATAGGTCTAGAATCTTTTCAAAAAATTTTTTTATTCAAGTGACACTCTTTGCACAACTCATTTAGTTAAAAGCTATCTCATCAATTACAGTTATAATATTTAAAAACAGAATTTACCATAGCTTGCTTAACTTTATACTATTGTGCCAGTTGAAAAAGTATTAAGTTCTCTAAACTTAAACTTTTTCAAATAATATTTAGTTAAAAAAGTGCATATACATTTCAGATTAAAAGTTACACTAGGCAAACAGTCTTAAATAAATTAGATAGTACTTTTAAAAATATTAAAATAATTAACTTGAATTTATAACAACTATAAACTATACACACAATTGGTGAAAATTAAATTTTAAAATATTTCATTAAAATATATGTTTTCCTTTTGAATGTACTTAAATACATTAAACTGCACTTAAAAAAAAATAGAAAGAAAAAACCCAGAATGTGTTTACACAATACGAATACATAAATAAAAATAATTTTAGCATAGAGCTTAAATAAGAACTGTTTTTTTAATTGTTAAATTGCAATAAATACGTTATGATTTATATTCTCTCTGGACCTTTTATTTAATTCCCCCCCCCCCTCTTTTTCATTTACTTTCGGCAACAGCTGAAGTGCGAGTTCATAAAATAAAAATCTTGAGAGATGGATTTTCTTTGTTTGAAAAATCCTTACATAAAGCAAAATGAGAAAAAATAAAATGTTAAAAATGCAATGGCTTCTGAACAAATTGGAATTAGGGAGGAAAAAAAACAAATGTTTAGATTATTATTTTTTTTTTTTGTAAGGAAAAAAATTGCTTTTGTTAAACACAGTAGAGTCCAGATTATTCGAATGAATGTGGACCACGACTGACTCGGATAACCTAAAAACTCGGTTAAAGCGAAGAGTATAAAAAAGGAAAGGAAAAAAAAAAATAGGTATAAATGTAATACATTTAACAAATACAAAATTTATACGAGTAGGTACACCACAAAGAACTCATATTATAATTAAAAAGCACTTAATTAAGCCTTTTTTCGTGGCACACGAACTAAAATACATTAGTTGTAATTTTTTTGTGGACAATTTTCGTTAAAAACTATATGGGTTTAAAGTACTTTTCTTTGTTTAAAAAAAAATCCTAATTTCTTCATTTCAGTGAAATTTAACATACCAATGGCGCTAAAAATTTATTTCTCAGGTAAAAATCTACTTCATATTTTGCTTTGAAATTCAATACTTTTGTTTTGTACAACTTGGTAAAAATCTGACAGTAATATTTAATGTTCCTTCAAACATAAAAGAGTCCTATATAAAATTTTGATGAAGTTGCGGCTCGCCATTTGACTGACGTTTTTAATTGCGGCCCCCGGCCTCATGTAAGTTGGAAACCCCTGTTCTATAGACTCAATAGCATTTTCAATAGCTTTTAGTCCATCTGTATGAGAGATTTTTATAGGTTGATTTTCATCGTCACTATCTTCATCATCTTCGCTAGATTCCTTTTCATTATTGACGATAACGATCATTTCATCTTATCAAGTTATTGGATTTCATTTTCCTGAGTGTTTGAAAGATAAAATTCAGAATTTTTTTTCCGCGGTTTTTTTAAATATAAAAAAATAAACTAGAACAAAAAAAAAATATCCTGGAAATATTTGATAGTTCGGTTAAAGCGGAAATTAAATTATGATTGTATTTTAAGTTTTTTAGATTCTATATTGCAGACATAATCACTTAGCTTGTATTAAAGACGACTCAGTAGCTCACTTTATTTTCATTGAAATTGATTTAGAAATAAATTATTCGATATTACGCAAAAATATCGATTAAAAAAATTATAATAGTAAAAACAGATGATGTAAAGGCAAAGTAATAATAATAAAGATTGGTTGAAAAAAACTGCATCAATTTTCATTGGTTGGAACAAAAAAATATATAAATAAATTGTGTCAAAATACCTTAACTTTTCTCAATGTAAATAGAACATCAGTATCTTTTTCATAAATCGAAAAAAATAACGTCGAATTTATTAACAGTTGAAATTGATTTAGTAATAAATAAGAAAAGTGAAGATAATGCGTTCTCCCAGAGTTATCTTTTATCTTGCCTTAACAATCGTGACATTTAAATTGCCAAATAAATTCACGTTTTCATGCTTTGCTTTATTCCCTAAATAAGCCAAACTTATAAGATAAATACAACGCAAGAAAGATGTTTTCAACTGAACACCTTTTATTTCAAACACGATTAATCGATACTGAAAAACTACCAACTTGAATTGAAAATTTCTTACAAAGAAGCAGTTAAATAACAATTGTTTCTTTATACCTTAAAGCGCAAATAGATATTTTAAAGTGGTAGTTTATCAATTGTGATTCTTGGTTTAATAAATTCGATTTAGTAGATTTTTATCCACCACCATTTCTAAATAATTCGTAGGTTTATATAATTCACCACTTTATAGTACTTATGTCATGCTATACCTTTCAAAAAGCAAGTAAAAATAGTCAAATATTTGCAAAATTCAGTTTGTAGTTATTTACAGTTTTTTTAATTACTATTTTGGCGTGTGCGGTGTGCGGAGCAATTGGCATATCTGCCAACATTCTGTTGCGAGTTGTTGTTTACAGTGCAATCTCAAGATCATTTCTATATCAAGAAATGATATGCCAAGGGGTTAAGAGAAATATTACTACCATAAAAAAAGAAAGAAAAGAAAGGGGAAAAAAAAAACATTTTCCTCAACGCTCGGCAGTCAGCTATGCAGTCCATTAATTTGAAAGCGAACAGATTAAAGATTAACAGACTATCGTGGGCCAAGAGAATCGGGGCAGGATAGTTGTAATTCGGTCGGCATGGCGCACAGGCCGCTTTTACTAGACAAGTTGAAACCCAGCGATTGGAAACTAGATGGGCTAAGAGCTGTCACTGGTAATAGAATGCCAGTACTTCACTATAACAATTTATGTTAAAACCATCGTTGAACAGCCGACCCAATTTTTTGGATTTGCGACTACTAATGTTTAACTCCGTAGCCTTGTAATTTTGAACCCAATAGAGAAAACAAGGGAACTTTTGGATCAAGTATTTGGAGAAATTTGCCTTCGTGGAGGACTCTTAGATGGAACTAATCTGCATTTCGGTTACATGGAGAAGAAAACCACGAAAACCTCCCACGGTTAGCCTGAGGGTAAGGGGACTCTAACCCATGATTCGTCTACCACTGAGGATATTTTACATCAGCACTGGTCGGATACGGAATTCCTATCAATCAGTCATCTCTGGGATTCGAACCCGGTTCACCTCATTGGATGGTGATCACAGTTTGAAAATAAATTCTAAGAACTTCGGCACTTTTCGTTAACTTTTTTTTAATTTAAAGAAAAGTTAATATATTTGTGTGCCCCAAATTTAACTTGTAAAAAAATAATTGCAATGGTTACGAAACCATACATCTCTTAAGTGAGTCTGCAAAAATGGAAAAAATATATATAGTCGGGTAAATGAATCATGGAGCCCAGGGTAGTTATCAGTCAAAATTGTTCGGGAAAGACCCGAATTGTAAAGTTTGATGAAGATATCGTACACATGCTTACTGTCTGTTCAGTTTATGAAGATTTAAGAATTATATTTTTCCCGAAAAATTTCAACTTTGAAACCATTAAAAAAAACTGGAACCAAAAGAAAACAAACAAAGGAATTGAAGAGATTTTTAAAAAACTTTTGGAAAAGAGAATTGGGGATTTGGCCTAAACTGATCCTTCAATAGTATTCCCTGGATGCCCCGCATGGGGGAGAGACAGGGTTAAAGCCGAGCTGGTAAATGCATGAAAAGAAACAAACATGCGTGCAGCCGTAACTAGCACGTTATTTTCAGAACAATTCTAAAAAAACATAACACATATATACATCGATCT